GGCAGCAGCAGGGATAACAAAGGGGAGTCGAATAAACTTTACTCTGATGCCTCCTGATGATGATGTACGACTGAAAAGCAGCGGAGGCAACATCAAGAAGGATGGGTGAAAGAGCCTTGGGCCGGCATTATCATTCAACCCATATCCACAAACACATGGGGCACGTGACGGGCTTGGATGTGCGTGTCCTTAGCACAAGGAGAAATTTTGTGGGGAAAATTTAAAGTTATATAAAACTTTGAAAAGGTTAAAACACTTTATAAAAAGAATAAAGTAATAAAGTGAGAGAGAGCTTAACAATTAATAAAAACACAAAAAACCCTTTAATCTACCTTTACCTTCAAGGTAATGTATGACCAGCATTTTCCCCCAGTGTATTCCTGTTCCATTTCCCTTACCTCCACTGTGCTGTTGCGCAAAATCCAAACTAATAATGACATTTTGCGAATTATTCCACATCGCAGCCTGCTTGACACACTGACACTGAACCGGCGAGCAATAAAAGCGGCAGCAGGAAGATGAGAAAAAGGATCCCAGGGAGCAGGAGTAGAAGAAGCACCAGCAGAAGCCTGCAACAGGAGTCTAAAAGGGTGGTGGTGTGAAATTTATTTGCTTCCAGGACCCGTCACGTTCTCCAGCGTATATGTGTGAGTGCGAGGGCCATAAAGCTTCCCATTCGAAAGGAGTTTCACACCCAGTCGCAAGAAAAGGGGAATCAGCAAGTAAACACGACTGCAAGAAGATATTACTTCTGACTGTATCTTAGAAGGAATCTTGGGCAGGGTATTCCCAGTGCGAGGACCTCACTACTAAAACAATTTTATCTCGTCTCATACAAAGTCTCTGGCTGGCAAATGAAAATGTTGCCCCGCTTTTCCATTGAATTTATTATCCTGTGATTGCGTAACATTTATTCATGTCAATTAGCCTTGGCAGCAAATGCAAAAATGCTGTTGATGCAGCTCTCTCCTCCCCTCCTCCTCTCTTCTCCCTTTTCCTACTTGCATTCTTGGACAACTTGTCGGTTGGTTGTTTGCTTGTTAGACGTGCCGTTGGCATTTGATGTATTTTTAAATTGCATAAAGTTACGCTTTTATTTTCCACAAATAGAAAAAGCCAATTCATGTGATGACAAAATGATAGAAATAAAATATTTAAACAAAATCTATATTGGATTGCATTTTTGGGCAAGTTAAATCCTTTTCAGGTTTTCAATTTGTATATCTGTCGTTAGTTACAAACTTTAATTAAAAGTTTATTCATTTACTTATATTCCCTGACAAGGGAAAATGGATTTTAGCTTCTAAGTTTTAGTTGACAAATTAAATCAGATCAGCCTTAAACTCCATTCTAAGTAACAAATTTTGTATAAAGTTAAACCTTAGATCCTTGATTTAGCAAATGCTGACCATGAACGCTTCCTTTTAAGCTGATAAAACAGCATTTACCTATAAATGCAGATTAATGAAGGCACCCAGACACTTGTTGACAGCCAACACCCGTTCTAGGGACACCTGGCTGTCGTAATTCCCCCAAGGTGTAGCAACCAAGTTGGTTCTTTATTTTAATTTAGCTGCTTCAACTAATGGATTCGAGCTTACGTAACACCAAACACTTTGGCCGTAATGCGGCATAGGGCAAAACTAACCCACAATATCCCATAGTTCCGCACCCTGGGTGTTCTTTGTGCTATATTGTGCTGCAAAAGACTTAATTTGCATTTACAGCAACGCTCTGCACGTACGCAACTAAATATAGTTGGTTAGGGGAGCTCTCACTCACTTACAATGGACGTGCAACGGGGCGGATGAGAAGGCGTTGACTATATATATATAAATTAAGTATACGCAGTGCAGCCCCTCTGCTATGTCTCATTTCTCTTGCTCTCTCGTTTTCTGTTGGAACTAGAACTAAAACTGAAACTGAAACTGCCAACTGAGCTAGAGTCTCTAATGACCACTTTGAGGGTTTTAAAATGGGCGACAGTCAGGCAGCGGCCACATAAATAACACGAATAGCGTCCTGTTCCGCATTTCCCTGCTGAGGCCAGAATGAAATTAACTTATTCATTAGCAAATGGCAGCCCGGGGGCCCGTCTTAAACGCCATATATACTTATATATATATATATATGTATATAACTATATATATATATCTGGCACATAGTAGCTCAGATATATGCAAATTTGTGTGTTTATGTCTATAAACTGTTTGCAGCTCTTTTCAAAGGCGCTAAATGTCAGACACTTTCTACACCTCGGTGCGACTTAAGCTGTCTTTTATGCTGGCATACCCTGCATATGCGTAAGGGAAGCTATATGGGTTTTTTGGGATAAGTTTTGTATGATTATTTCTTTCTTTCTTTAAGTAAGTTGTTAAGGTAGCTTAGATCAAGCCAAATTCTTAAAAAATTACAGAAAAATGTATAATTTTATACAAGTTTCAGGCTACAAGTTCTAGTAAAGCCAAGTAAAACACTAACAACTTTCAAAAAATAAACCTATATTATTACAAATTTCATAAATACCTAAAAAATTCAACCCTAATCATGATCCTGCTTCAAAAACTCACGGGGTACACCCTTAGTCTTAAGTACCAACTACAGCAAACAACCTTCGGAAAAGTTTTCTTTCTTGTTTTTAATTAAAAAACATTTTCATTGCAAGGTGCAAAATGGCTGGCAAATTGCATAGAGAACACAAGGCACCACCGGCAGCAGGACTTCGGGCGCCATTTTGAGTTGCTGGCTTAACGAGACACCCACACAAACACACAACACACACACACCGGCACTTACAACCAGGACGGTTTGTTGTTTGGCATGTCCTTTTTCCTCTTTTCACTTCTGGGTTTCGTTTTGTTATTCGTTGTTGTTGTTGTTGTTGCTGTTTTCCTTAAAAGGGAGAAGAAAAAAAAACTTTAATTAAGTTTTTCAGGTTGCCTGGTTTATTTTTAACTCGAGTGTTTTTGCATACAACAACAACAGCCATGAGTTTTGACAGCTGCCTGTAATTTATAAGGGCATTTAGTTGCAGATTTTTCCCACATGATGGAAGCTTAGGGCAAAAGTTTGCCAAAACACACAAGCATATGATGATGGAGGGCCAAAAATAATATGGGGTTAGAGTTCGCAGCTTAACAAACAACATTTCACTCTGTATTTGATAAGCTTAAATATAGTTTTAATTAAAGTTTTGGCCCTTTCATTAGGAGTTTGGTTTGACAAGCATAATTTAACTTTAAATTAGATTTCCTATCAATCTGACAGAACTATGTCATTTCGCAAATTACCTGACTGTGTCTGAGCGCCAGCTGTTCGTTGGCTTTGAGGCAAAAGATAATACTGCCCGATCCGCTCAACTCATTTGCATTTGCCGCTAGCATTATGTGCAACCATCTTGTCGCCCTGCCATTCTTGCAACATCAAATGGAGCGGCAGACCCGTCGGCAAGGATCCATTTAACTTGCAATTTGTGCAAACGACTTACAATTGTCGCCGGCAATTCTGCCCCTTTTTTTTAAGCCATTCCCTCTCAGAACGGAACGTAAAATCGCAAATTTTCTACATTTCATCTCTAGTTTGCTGCTTCACTTTGTTCTCAGGCTTAGCCAACCAAAAAAGAAGTAAAAAAATGAACACTAAAGGCGTCAAAGGGAGTGAAAAAATGTGGAAAAATTGAATGGAATCTGTTCTTAGATACAAAATCTCGGAAAATAAAGTTCATGTTTTCTTTTTTAAGATTTTGTAAGAATCGATATGATAGCTATTTATAATTTGTAAGGAAAGATCAGAATCTTCCTTTAAAATACTTTCCCAAATTGCCTGTCAGAACACTTTCCCAATAAGGGCTTTCCATCTTGTTCAGCTCCAGGATGAGGCCAGGCAAATTGGGAGCACTTTTCCAGGCCAAATTCGAGCAGTCGTTTACGGCAAGATAGGAATCGCAGGTGGGTTGAGTTTTTAGGGGAGAAGGATGAGTGGATGGCCAGGTATTCGTTTCGAACTCCGTTCCATGGAAGTGCGAAATATTTTCGCTGCGATTTGCATTTGTTCGAGGGGTAGGCAGGGGCACACAGGAGGCGTGGCAGTTCCAATTGGCGCCGCACATAAATGCAAATGCAAAAAAAGAAAAAAGTGGCAAAAAGTGCCCAGAGGCGGTGGCTTTCGATGGGAGGTGTGGCAATGGCAGGGGCAGTGGCAGAGGCAGAGGCAGTGGCAGCTGGTGAACGAAGTGTGGCATACATTTAGGCGTCGCCGCATGCAAATGTTTGACGTTATACAATAATAAAAGCAAATCCGTGGCAAAGAGGCACCCTTGCAAATATACACATCATATATATATATAGATGTCTTTATATATATATATTTTTTTTTATTTTCTTGGGCTTATTCTTGCGACGTTTTTATTTCCCCTTCTGCTTGTTCAGTTTTGCATATTTTTCTTGTTCGATTTTTATCGCCACGTCGCCGACGACGAAAATGTTGCGCAAATATTTGCGCTTTTATGTGCATAGGAAAAAACCTCTCCCCGGATTTTTCCTTCATTTTTTTATGCCTTTTTCTCTCCCCCCCCCCACGACATGGAACATTTTTGCCTCTCATTCATTTCTTTTTGTGCATTCAGATTTTCGCTTTGCAGATGTTTGTTGTTGCTGCTTTTTATGATTTACTTGTGCTTTGTGTTTGTACTTTGGTTCGTATTTGTGTTTGTGTTGGTATTGGAATTGAGACACTGAGAAAAATAACAATAAAAATATGTTAATATTTATGCCATGTTAGTGTCTTTATTTCTCAACGAAAAGTTATATTTCCATAGAATGTCAAACAATATTTATTAATCTAATATTTTTTTTACATTTTCCAACTATTTTTCTCAGTGTTTCTATGTGTATACACTGTTGCAAAGGTAAATTGGATTGAGAAATTGAAATCGCATTCAATGGCATAAGGGAGGAGCAGGAGAGAGCATTGGCAGAATAGAGGGCGAGAGCAAAGGAGATAGAGGAAAATCTTTTCCGTTTTATTTACCTTATTGATTTTCCCTTTTGTACAGGTCGTATCTGTGTATTTGTGCACCTCCGGCTGAGATAATCGAGCTGAAGTTGCATTTTCCACTTTGGTGGCAGAAAGTTTAATGGATTTCTCGTTGTTTTTTTTGTTTTCTTCAACGATTTTTATTCAACTCCGAAAAGTGTGCTTTAAAAAGTTTTCTGCTGCTGCCACTTATTTTTTAACCATCGTGTGTACACCTGCTCTTGGCATTTCTCGTTCGACCAATATACGGCTTGACAATCCCAAAACATTCATCAAAGTCCGGCGTTAAAACCATTTTCATGTTTTCATTCTTTTCCGCCCCAAAACTAAATGTCAAACTAGGAATATTCCTCTCATGACGTCACAACTAATTAGTGTGAATTTAAAGGAAATTCAGTGGCAGTTAGTCAAGTTTTTGTTTTTTTTTTGGTTGCAATGGCCTAACTAATTAGTTGATTAAACTTGCCTTGGCTTAGAGTCATTTGACTAAAAATTTCTGGTTTAAGCTGGTTGGCGATTGTTCCTTTTTTTTTTTCGTTTTTGGCTAAACTTCTTTTTGGGTTTGAAATTAGTTTGTCTCTGGAGAGTTCCTAGTTCCTAGCTAGGAGGGATATGCAAATATAATAAAAGGAAAGAGTTGTATAACAGTATAACACATATAACAGTTTATATTCATTTGTTAAAATAACTAATCAAAGTCGTCGGAAAAGGATGAAATCATCAAACTGAAAGGAATTTAAAATATATTCAGAAATACAAAAATATTCCATAAAATTATCCAATTTTTGCTCACTTTTTGGGGTAAAATATATCAGAATAAGGATTATTTTTAATATTATAATCAAACTTAATAACACTAAATTAAACCAATAAAAATCTTAATTCTTGACTTTAATAACATTTATTCAGTAAAAATATCAAAAATTAAAAAACCTATAAATCTACGACAAACATGTTCAGTTATTTGGTCTTGTGTATGCGTGTGTGTGTGTGTTTTTTTTTTTATATAATATTTATGCAATATGACTTAAGTACAATAATGTTTCTGTTTGGTGACCCCCAACCAATGGTGACCTTGATGGATCTCAAAAATGGCGCTGCATCACCCTGTCCAGATCGTTCCAACTGCAGGAGTAGTCGATCTGCAGCAGACCCTTCTTGCTCAGTCCGAATTTACGGGCGTAAATTCCCGAGTAGAGCGACGAGTCGCCTCCGCTAGAATGTGGCGATGATCCCCTCATCCGGGATCCATCCATTCCACCACCCATTGTTCCATAGAGAGTGGAGGGTGCTGCATAGATTTGCTGGTGACATTCGCTGCAATCCGGTATGCTGCAGTACGGCAGTGTAGCATAGGGATTACAGTAGTCATAGGCGGGCGAGAGAGGCGGCGGGGCAGGGAAGTCGATCTTTGGCGGGGCGACCAGGGATGTGGTCTTACCGCTTCGCTTGCGCCTCGGATGTGGGGCAGTTCCATAGCTAGGGATATTATTGTTGCCTTTGTTCAGCTGACTGGGTACCGAGCGACGTTGGAGAGTGGCTGCCCGTCGTTGGGGGAGAGGCTGCTCATCTCCAATAGATGAGGGATGCTCCGTGGAACTTGTGCTGGAGAAGCCTGAAATAAAGTTAGGGTCAAAGAGAGGTTTCTTAAAGACTTAAATTGAAATATAAAATATCTCCTTAATAAAAAATTCCAAGAAACAGAATTGACAATGACAGCCGTTTTGCATTTCATTTAAAATTTAAAACATAAATGGATTTCTCTGATATATGCTAGTCTAAGGATAAGTAAATTGAACTAGAAACAATGAATAAAAGGAATTTATAATTCAAATCTAAAACTAAATGCTCCCTCACTCACCCCCGAAACCGTTGTAAAGCTGACGCTGCTCCTCGCCATAAAGATCTTCTGGCTCCTCCTCCTCCTCGCCATGGTCCAGTTGCAACTGCCTGGTCATGGTGGCCATGTAGTCCTCATAACGACTGGGTGCTCCATATACCTCGCTCCTAGCCGTATATATTGGCTCCTTGCGGGCACTGCGACTCCGGCGACGTGTCCTTTGGGGCACACAGCACTCTAGTTGACACTGGGCACGCGACACACGACGACTTTGTGTGTGGGGGCGTGGCATTGTTGCGGACATGCCCACGCCCATGCCTCCCCTGCCACTGTTTTCGCCAATACCCATTCCATAACCATAAGTGGGACTGGGGGTCAGGGAGTTACCAGTCCCGTAGGCGGGTTCAACTGCCTCATGACCTGTGACATCATCGATCTTCTTCCTCACATAATCATAGTTCTCCAGATCCCAAGGATCCACATAGCAACGTTGTGAGGGCAGCAGGGTAGTGCCATATATATCCTCTGTATTGTCAATGGTATAGTAGGGGGATTCCAGAGCACCCACACCCTCCGATGAGCTGCCTGGTAATGCCTGTTTTGGACCCGTTCGACGCCTTCTGGGGGTCGTTTGACTGCGTTCACGCATGCTGGAAAATCAAAGAAAAAAGATGATAAGTTTCAGTGGGGGAAAAAAGTAGAGTTTTGTTGTGGGAAAACCATCAACTAGTTGGTTATATAACTTTGCAGTTGATATCGAAACTCTTCCGTCAACCCATCGAACCCGTTCTTCAGCCGCTTTGGCCGCGAATTTTCCGCCGGCTTAACTTGCACACCGGCTGTAACATTTGCAGGTGTTACACTTCACGACTCCACTGAAACCATTAGCCGGTTTATGGATCTGCATAACTTAGCATGGCCAATCAATTGGCATTCCAATTGCCAATATGCCACGATATTCCATAAGCCAAGCAACTGGTTTAAACTTTATAATAAACATAAAAACCTTGCCACCCGTTTTGGACATCAAAAACAAATTGCTTTACTTATCAAAATCAAAATATCAAACAGTATCTCAAATATCTATTTAATTAAAAACTGAAATGCAGCCAGTCAGCAGAAGTATTTCATAAAAATATGAAAAATAAAATCAAGTGGAGTGGAAAAATATACACAAATATCCATTTGGTTGGAGAAGGTTAACTAGATTTTCCGATGGGTTTGTCAGCTGCAGTCATAACGAAATGAAATTACAGAGGAATGATTTTGGCCATTGTTGGCTTAACTAAATGGAAAAGCTTTACATTTGTTTTTATTCAACATTAAAGATAATCTGGAAATTGAACAAGTGAAAAACTCTAAAAATTGCTTTCATTTGATTAAATCTCAATCGCAGACTGAATGGAAAGCCAAACAAAGCTTACAATTTCAGTAAATATTATTAATTCAGCGATGAGAGAAATGTTTAAAAAAACCATTGAAAAAGTTTGATTTTTTCCCACTTTATAAAGCTCATAATTTTGGTTTTTTAGGTTTAATTTTTAAGTTTTTTACCCTCAGCGATTTCTTGCATACGCCCATTTGGAAAAAAAGGTTTTGCGCAATCTTTCCGAGGCATTTGTAATTTGTGCATTTGCATAAAAATGCTGTGTGTGTTGGCTTTGTTTTTGGCTGTTTTGTTTTAATCGCTTCGGTTATCGATTAACATTTCTATGGCTTTAGCAAGCAGCAAAAACTAAAAGGAAAAAACCTTTCAGATGGGAATATAATTTATAAAATACACAAACTACACTGCACTACAAGAGAGAAAAAATGAGATACAAAACAACGTGACTTGGCTGTGGCACGCAAATGAAATCGTGTATCTGGTGGCTCTTTCAGGGTCTATACACTTTTTATGGCATATATCCAAGCATTAAATATAAATATAACTACATACAGAAACCAAACTGAATGCAGTTTTCAGCCATTTGCACGCGAGAGAGAAAATAGTTTAGGAATTGTTTTCGGATTTATTTTTCATGGAAAATCGAAAATGGAAAGGTGCAAGTGAACTAATCAAATATTTAAACGTTTGTTTCAACAAATATTAAATAATAAATATTAAATAAGAACTAAGGGGTAACTTTTCTCTAGCTCAGATATTATTTTCTGCTGCAGCTAACATTACGTATACGCCGCTTAGTACTTGAAAACGTTGAAAGTTAATTGCAAGCTCAGTGTTTAACCGCTATTAGAGTTGAATATGCATATGTGGATAAGAGACCACTTATGGCCCTAAAGCCCTGTTAATTAATTGGCATCTTTGGCCGAGACTTCCAACGCTCTCTGCGGTTGACTGATTGCCCCGGTCAACCTCAGCCTCAGTTCGCCAAATCCATCTTAGTGCAAATTGGCCCTTTGACTTTGGCTTCTGGCCATATTTGCATATCAAATATGTCAAGTTCGCTTCGAATTACTTTGTGTAATCAGTCGGGTTTGTTAGCGATTGATGATTGATGGTGACTCTCAACCGGAATTAAGCTTTAAACTAAAAGATAGCCATTAATTTTGGTTTTATTTCCATGAAAAGCTATTATTATGTTGGAGGTAGGAAAGATAGTTAGGAAGTAATTAAAAGTTTGATTTAATTTTGCGGTTTATTTATAGTTTTGATTTAATGATTGATATAAATATTAAAGCTTTTATGAGATTTTTATGAAGTTTTATCATATTTTTTTGGTAATTTGTATGAAAAAGTAAGCAAGTTTGGGGGAAATTTTAAATTTAATCTGTTTAATAACCAAAAATATCTATCAAGATATTAATTAATAACCCGTTCAACCCTTTCCTAGCACAAATTATGCAAAATGGTAAAAAAAATAACATAAATATTTCAACATCGAATTATAATGCAAAATAACTGGAAACAAGTTTGCCAAATGCCAATCGACCTTGCTAAGTATTCGAATATGAATATTTATTCGAGTGATATCATAACCAAAGGCGGATTTACATGAACTGAATTGAGACCAGAGTGATATATCCATTCCCAAGACGCTTCTGCCGCACCTCCAAAATAAATTAAAAGATTCACAAAAGTCTTTCAGCATGAATCACTGGCAAAGAACAGTTCCTTGGCATGGCTGGGCGTACAGCCCTAAAAGGTGATCATTACACTTGCATTGCGATTCGAATTCATACAGAAGAGACCCACGCACATCATCACTCAGAGCTTGACAATCCCACAAAAGTAAACTTATAGATACACCTCAAAAAAGATCTTGATAGCCAAGGCCCATATATAGCGGCAACTTTCTTTGCTTTTGACACAGTTTTCTTGGCAGTTTCATTCACCTTTTTTTGGTAAGGGATAAAAAATATATTTATATATATCTTTGTCACTTGTCACACTTTGCGGTAGAACCGTCACAGTTCTTTAGCCAATATTTGAATTGCGAATTTTAGACACGTCCGGATCCGTCGTACATGATCCACGCGCATGCGCAGCCGCGTTGTGTTCGCTTCTTCGACCGACGATCAACTGTCTTGTGGCTTGAATGGTTTGAGCCAAGTTTCAGGTTTCTTTCTTCGTGCTCTTTAGCTTGCAGCATGTTCGAAGCTTGTGTTTGATCTTCAAGTTTGGCCAAAGCCAATTGCAATCAAAATTAATTAGAGCTCCCATTCAGCTTTTATGTCTTTGGTTGGATGTAATTTTCGGGCTTCTTGTAAATTAATTAGCAGTAAATTAAAATGACAGCAGGTGATTATGTCACAGCTGGCAAAGCCACTCAAAGTCACATTGATATGCAAATTTGTGAGCCGCTGAAATGCGGCTGCGACTGCGCCAAAGAAATGCCAAAGATAAATCTCAAGAAAACTATTTTTTATTACCTAACGAACTTGGCTTGCTCTTTTAATAAAGAAAATACAAAAAAAAAAAGGTTAAATATTTTTATAAATAAAAAACTGATTTGTCATCTTTTATAAATCAAAAACTAGCTGAATCATGAAAATCTTATTATTATCTTTTAAAAACTTCCAACTTACTGCCAAAGTAATAATCACCTTGCTAACCAAAGGGTAAATGGCAAAAAAAAGCAGCTGCCAAGTTCAAGTTTTCATTGCTTTTGGCTAGGAAAGAAATTGAATTGGTGGCTGAGAGAAATTACATCACTTCAACTTCAACTTGAGCCGGCATTTTTTTTGGGTGGGGCAATAGTCGCCGCCTTTGGAATTCATGAAAGGAAAACAGGTGATGAGCATCATTTTTCATTCGAGAGTTTTCTTTTCGTCAGCTTCTTCTTTGCTTCCAAAATAAAACCCAAATAATTTATGCATTTTGGTTTTTTGTCTGAGCTACCAAAAGGTATTTATAAATATAAATTGTTTGAGAAAAAAAAAAACTTAAAAAAAGCTTTCACTTTCAATGCGGTGGCGGTTTGGTTTTTATAATTTTTGTTATTTTCTGTGGTAGCCCCAAAGTCGTGCCGATATTGATGGTGTTTGTTCAGTCAGGTCAGTAATTATTTCTTTTTTTGTGGTGAGTGTCGAGTGCAAACAATCAATTGATGGTCTCCATAGGCCAGGCCAAAAACAATTCAATTAAGCCAGCCAAAGCGACCCACACTTTGTGGTTAAAAGTCTGTCTCCAAAAAAAAAGGGAATTAAAAAATCATTTTTTTGGGGTTATTTTTGAAGATTTATGCAATATCAGTAGGTGCGATTATGCAAATATGATTTGTTTTAGGCTATAAAAGGGTTTTTTTTATGTTTTTTAAATGTTTTTTACTTTAAATATTTAGAGAGAGGGAACTCAGATTTTCATTAGAAGTCTTGCCTTGATTTACAATTTTAGTTAAGATTTTTCTATAAATTTATTTTTGAATATAAATCTAATCTGGTTCATAAGAAATATAACTTTTGAGGTTTTATTAAATTATTAGAAATGTTTCCTAACCACCAAACCTTGCTTTCTATTAATAATTATATCTTTTCTATTTTTTCTAACATTTTTAATTCATTTTTGTAATGATATATTAACTTTTAAACCAATCCGTTCCATTTTCCAATGTTTTTACTACTAAAAAATCTTACAAATTCCAAAGTTTCTTTACTCACTTAAACTTTTAATTATCTTAAACTAAATTCTTTTTTTAAACCTCTAAAAATGTGAATTCCTTGTAAATCGAACAACATTCACAATTTTGGCTTAGATTTCTGGTCACGAGTCTCCTGCAAAATGTTGCGTTCGCTAGGCATTCATCCTTTCAGTTCATTTAGCCACCTTCCAGTTCATCAAGCCTACATTCCTTGCCATAGAACTCTCAGATATATATGTATCTTACAGATGTACATGTATGTATTTGCCCCCATTCAAAAGCTCCAGAGCAATTTGCCGCTTTTAATGGCAAAACGCCGTGTTGGAGCAGCAGTAGCTGCAGCACACGTTGCCAACGCACAGGAAACCAGCTGCACCTGGCCACCCCAATGGATCCATGCGGGGGGTTTGAGCTGGCTGAGGGGGCGGTGCCACACAACCAGATGTTTGCCTTTGACTGGCGGCAGACTCGTTGATCTCTGCTCCAATTCCAATATGTGTGTGAGTGTTCAGCTCGATTGCCCCTCCAGTATCTTTCATGTATTCGCATCGACGACATTGTGCAACATGCTCTTCGATATGGCAAAAACTTCATACCGCAGTGTTGCACCAACCCCGCTGCCCCTTACCATTGCACATTGGGCTTAAGAATTAAATAGTTTTTTGATATGTTAAATGAAGAATTGGAAATATAGAACTTCCCTTGAGTTTAATTCATTTTTTATTGGTAATGCTTCTGAGGTAAATGAGAGGTTAGTCTATGTTTTCGTTAAGGTAAAACTGTTTTGAGTATCAACATAAATTCTATTTTTACAAAAATATCTTTATATGTAATATATTTAATTTACATATATGTTATAAATGTGAAATATTTGCCTAAAAAAATAATTTTTATAAGAATTTTAAATCTCAAAATTGTAAAAATGCCATTTTAACATTTTTGGAAAGCAGAATATTCGCATTCTTATTTTATACTCTTAATAATCATTTAAAATTAAGGTATATTTTATATATATATATTTTATTTAGTTAATTAAAAATGTATCATTTAAGCCTATTTAATCAAAATGTTGAAGAGTTAAGTCATCTTTAATATATTAATTTAAAATTAAAACAAATTTATGATTAATACTCAAAACAGCAAAACAAACTCGGTCTAACCTGAATAAAAAAAAACTTTGAATTGATGATATCTTAAAGAGTAGAAATTTATACACATTTATAAATATTTCAACAGCTTAATTTAACAATTACAATTATTCCAAGATATATTTCCATATACATTTCTACCGTACAACTTTCTTGGTTATTACAATAACTATAACCAATGTGAATTGGCAACAGCTGCAGCTGCCCAGCATTAGAGATGCTGAGTCGCAGATTGCGCTGCACCCAGGCCCAATACCCAACCTAATCCCAAATCCGAATCCGAATCGAATGGTTATAGCACATGTTTCTCCTTTACGCTCTCCGCTTGTCACTCGCCTTGCCACTTTCGATTTTTCATAGCCAGCAGTCTCTATTTTTCCTACTCTTTTTTTCTTTTTTGCAACTCACTGTTTTTTTCCTCCAGTGGGGCAATAATTGTAAGTGGACCTGGGCATTTATGGCGTTTTTACTGTGGGCCTGTGACTGTGGCCCATTTTGGCCACCATGTTGGACATTTTGCACGTGCTCAGGCCACAAAAGGAAAAGCTGGCGAATGGCAGAGAAACAGGGAAGAAATATGGCCGGTAATTGTGTGCTTCCCATTTGATGTGTCAGCAAAACGCTTTTTTCTTCTGCGGTTCTTTCCGCGAATTTCGGGACAATTGTCGGAGGCTTTTTAAGAAGAAAAACCTTTCTTCCCTTTAAGCATTTCTCCTATCATCCTTCAAGTGAATTATTCAAACGTGAATTAATCATTCATACGGGAATGTGAATGCCCAACGGAAATTCATAAATGGATTTTGTCCCTTTTTGGTTTAAGTATTTATGGTGTAAAGCCTGGTCATCAAAGAAAAGTAGAAATTTAGTCTAGTTAAGTAGGTGGAAAATGTAAAAGTAAGCAGTTTTTTATGTATTTTTAAGGAGATTAAAGGTCTTTAAAAAAGAATTAAGTTTTAGGTTGGTTTTTAAGAAGTTCTTCCCTAGAAAACGTAACTTAACTTTTATGAAGAATATATTGTTTATTAATTGACTAAATATTATATAAATATAAATTTCTTTTACTTACTTTAAGATATGCTAAAACTTCATTAACTAAGCTTATAATTAATTCAAAAGCCCTTGAAAATTCCAGATTTCCGTGGCTTACTTTCACAATTACTTTAATTTATTATCAAAACCTACAAAAAAGAACATTTATTCCCAACCATAAATCCTATTGATAATCCCTTTTCGGGCCCAGTTGAACGACCCAGCACAATGGGCCATAACCGAAACCATTAAATTTGTATTTAAATCCACTCATTGCTCAATCTGCTTGATGATGCAATAATACCTAGTACAACAACTGCAGGCAGACATCGGGGGCATAAGCAAAAAAAAAGAAATACTAAAAAAATGTAAGAAAAAACATGAACAAGATGAACATCAGCCGCAGCATCATCACCATCGACATCTGACATGCCGAGGGCCAAGCAGCGCCTCCATCGCCTCCATCTTCGACATCGTCTTCATCTCCGGCTCTATCTGCCTCAATCATTCGCTGACGCACAGTTCAAGTGGCACTGGCACAAATCATCTTAACAAAAATCCACATATATAGAGAGAAAAAAAATAGAAGACAGCAAAAAGTCTATCACTACAAGAGCTAGACATCTTTGGAGGCAACTCTGACATAATTTGGTCAAAATAGTTGCTGCCTCTTGTTGATTGTCTTTTTGTGGATTTTTGTTATAGTTATTTGGTTTTGATGATTCTGAGTTATCAAGGAGGGCTTTTTTTTTGTATATTTAAGAAAATTATATACTCTCTTGAAAAAGAAAAAAGGTATCAAGATTTAAGCTTTGGTAGTTTAGATTTAAGTTAAAGTTAAGTTACGTTTAAGCTAAAACCTGTAAGTGAAGTTCTTTTGACATTTAGACTGTTAATCTTGCTTAGAAAGAAGAGTTTGATAAACATTTTCTAAGACTTTTCCTCAGATATTTAATAAATATATTTAATATTTATCAGTGTTTAAAAGTTCTATATTTCCTTTAGGAATTTTTTAACATTTTTTAAAGTCTATTAGGAGGTAGCAGAAATGAGTTGACAAGCAGAGAAAAATTAATATTACCTTTTACTATATAAACCCTATTTAAGATTTGTTCTTAAAACCTTTAATCTTTCTTTAAAATATTTTTAAATATTTCCCTTAACAAACAACAGTGTAGACTGATTTTAAATTCAAGTTCTTCATTATTAGCATGACAACTATTACTCACAATCGAAAGAATATATCACCATATCAGTACACACATTGCAGAGACAATTTTTCATGTCAATCTCACACACCCAAAACACCCCTGCAAAAAAGAAATAAAGAAGAAAACCCACATGGATGCAGTGCGAATACGCCCATAGATACATCTGCTAC